TCAGGAGGGGGTTGGTTTGGAACGGATGAGCTTGCTGGTGGAAGACCTGAACGTGTGTTTACCATGGCTTTTGGTAGCGATTCCCACAGACGGCGCCAATGATGCTACCAAAAATCGTACCTGCTGATTTTCCGAGCTTGATGACTGGTGAGGAGCACGAACGTGATCTTCCGATACCTGAAACAAAGGCAACGAGGTGTGTTCTCGTCGCCCCTCCAATACTTAAGTCAGAAAGGGAAATATATGCGTGAAGCTATGTGCTGAAGAACAATGTCAAACGTACCTGAATAATGGTTCAAGGTTCTGTATTTATAGTAGTAAGTGACATTCTCCTAATTGGACTCGACTAGCTGGATGTCCTCATCTGTTGGAGTCCTGAATGGTTAAGGAGTTGGTTGAATTCCAGAATTATGCGTGAGATAGGACTCTTGTGGGAGTTAAGATTCCTAATTGCGTAGGAATTCTAAAGGGTGAACAATTGTCAGCAGTAAGGAGGAGCACATTCCCGAGGACTATGCCCGAGGACACATGTTTGCAATATGCGAAGCGTCATGGAGATGTGGTCGGGCCTTGTGTCTCGAGGACGAACATGCTCGAGGACACCACAGATGGATTTACAACTTTACCAAAATTAGTCCTCGGGATATACTGATCGGGGATATTGTAAAATGTCACCATCACCAGGTATTGAGGAATGGGCTTATTTCGAATTATTATTATTATTATTATTATTATTATTATTATTATTATTTTGTTTCAGACGGTTGTGGGTGTTGCAGGGATATGCCAAGATTATTCAATTCTTACATCTCATTACACTCATGCTTTTGTACTCAAGTGGAAAACCCTATTTCTATAATCTATAAAAATCCCTTCGAAAAAACTTAAAAATACTAATTTTCAAAATGTTTATGTTGTATGATTATGATACATATACAACACTTAATCACGTATTCTCTTCACTCTCCCCATAAATAATAAACACGTGCCATTGTGCCAGAAGAAAGGAAAAAAAAAAAAAAAACTCAATAAAATAACAATAATTATCAAAAAAATAAAATGACAAATCCAACATATAACATAACTATGATCAAATATATATAATAAAATTGCCTACCAAATATGCGACAACAAATACAGCATTTAATTAGTCACACAAACAAAATAAATATGAACAAAAAAAATATAAAAAGTCGCAAAAAAAAATAAAAAAAATAAAACCAAATATGCAACAATGCGTACTCATAAATTCTCATCTAATAAACAATAAATGTCCAAAGAAAAAACTGGAAATAATAATTACTGAAAAATAAAATATTGACTCAAACAAACAACATAAATACGAACAAAAAATAATAAGAATTTCTTACCAAATATGCAACAACACTTAATCACATGTTCTATACCATCTCGCTGATAAAATAATAAACATGTTCAAAAGAAAAAAAAAACCAAAAAAATAATAAATTAAATACACAATATAGATCCAAACAAAAAACTATAAAAAAATGAAAAAAATGGATTCTAAAGAATAAAAAAATTAATCATTATCATACAAATCTATAGATTCTAAGTGTGTGGCTTTAGAGGAGGAGAAAAGAGAGTGAATCTGCGTAATAGTATGATGATCAAAGAATTTGGTCATTGAAAAATGACTTTTATCTCATAACTTATTAAACGAAATTTATAGTGATCAAAGAATTGATAGGTTATTAGAAAATGACTTCTAATCTTAAAACTTGTATATGATTTGTAAATGTAATATTAGGTTTTTAAAAAAAATGAAAAGTTAATTTTATATATAATTTAGTATATTTTAAATTGTTTATATTAATATTAATCAACTTTATAGTCTATGCCATTTCTAGTTAATTATTCTTCAATATTAATGCAATTGTTTTTAACTGTATCTGATAATGTTTTTATTGATTGTAGATTAATAGTTAGTAATAATTGTATATAGTGAAAATTAATTGACTAAGTTTTTTGAAAACAATTACAGTAATTAATAATAATTTTGTTTAGTGGAAATAAATTGAATGTTAAGGGTATTGTTGATCATAAACATCAAAATATAAGGATAAAATAAAAAATCGAATGTGTTCTCATTTATCCACACTTTTTATATGTTTTAGTGTTTTAGATGTAGATTTATAAGTATCCACCCTTGTATAGCAAACTAGTTCTACATGGTGTCTTAAAGAGTGATTTGTAATGAAATCTTTCGCTTTTCTAACGATCTTTTTCAATGTTCATTAAATTTGGGTGGATCGTTACAATTTTTTTGTTAGTTTTTCTTTATTTTTCCAAAAAAACATAGGCCACGTAGATCACACGTGCATGGACCTTTCCATGCGTTTAACCAACAATATCGTCAATAGATGCTTTTCATATGTTTGATCGCTCAAGTATGTTTTGACCCTCTTCGAGTTTCTCTAGCCTACAAATCAAGTAAAGGAGACTTTTCCATTGCATATATCACTATGCAAGATAATCAAATCGGAAGGTTTAGAATATGTCTTGAATTTACAAATAGCCGTATGTCGAAAGCTAATCTCCATTGTAGACGATATATTTCATGCATGTTCAATATCTAGTTTATCATAGACAAGTTAACACTAAAGAAAATTTCAAAATTTTTCTTTCTTATGTTCAATTAATTCAACCTAATGGTAGTTACAATATTTTGGAAGGCCAAAAAATAATTTCATTTTTTTTTTATTGAAAGGAATTTATTTGATTTCTGACAATTTCTTTCATTTCATGCTTTTCTGTATTGGATCCATCTCTCTTTTAAAGGATTCTCTGCCTCAGCATTTTCCTCCACTGCACTGCTACACATCTCCCCATAACCAGGCATCTACAAAACACACACTAACACACACAAATTCACACACACTAAGATTCAACATCTGGTCTTACGTAAAAATGGCCACAGATCTCGAATGCCCAGATGAAGATTACATAGACATGGAATTATGTTCTTCATCATCCTTAAACTTTGCAAATTCTTCCCCAAAATGCCGAGAATTTGAGTTTCAGATGTCTTCCATTTGTAGGGAAAAAGACACTACAACTTCTCCAGCTGATGAACTGTTTTATAGAGGCAAACTCCTTCCTCTCCTCCTCCCACCACGGCTGCAAATGGTGCAAACTCTCCTCTGCCCCAACTCCGGTGACGGCGCCACCACCAAAAAGGGTTCTTTCCCATTTATTAGTTCTTGTTCTACAGCCCCTCAAACCGACACAAACACCCCATTGGACGCGTGCAACATTTCTCCATCAGAATCATGCAGGCTGAGTTGTGAACTGAACCCTGATGAGTATTTCTTTGAATGGTCCACTGAATTAAGCAGTTTCATAAAAAATAATCATAATCATCATCCAAAAAAAAGTTGGACCACCAAAAAACTCAAGTTTACTGAGCATTCTATATTGGGTTCAAAGCTCAAGGCGTCAAGGGCTTATTTGAAATCTTTATTCAGGAAATCTGCTTGCTCAGAAGCTGAAATCTTGTCAAAAAATGAAAACTTTTCAAATAAGTACTTTAAAGTAGCCAAGAAAAATCCAACAATAGGTTCTATAATCAACAGCATTGAGAAAGAAGGGATTGAGGACAATGTTTATAAAAGATCATTTTCCAGTGCAATCAGACGACATTCTCCAACGAAGTGTTTGTCTTCTTCTTCTTCGTCCAATTCATCATCTGCTGCTTCGTATTTTTCGTATAATCTGAATTATGTTCACGAGCTGCACCTTCTCAAGAGGAGCAGTACTGCACCTGAGAATGAGGGTTCTATTGAGGCAGCCATTGCTCATTGCAAGAAATCTCGACAACTTCCAGATTCAATAAATGCATCAAGTGATTCTGCATTTTGTACATTTTCTGATTCCAAGATTGCAGATGGTGAAGATCGAGAAAAATCACGAGTTTTGTGTTAGCACTTCCTTCGTCGTTTGGGCATAAATGAGAAGTACAATGCACAAGGTGTAGACGAACCTCACAATGTAACCTGGTTTTACAGTGGGCTCATGGACTTTTTCGTTGTATATCCGAGCATGTGTAGGTGAAGGAATTGTCGCGTTGACGAGTTAGGTAACGGTATTTTTCATTTTCATCATTTGAATTTTGTTAATTCTGATGCATGAAAATGTTTGCAGGAAGGAAATTTTCAGGAATGTCCGTTTCTTGCTGAAATTTTCTGATTGCTTGTAATTGGATCCCTAATTATTCAATCATTTTAAATTTTGGATTATACTGGACACAAATCAATTAGGCCAAGTATTCCGCTATGTTACTGTATGGACATGTCCTGTTTGTTTGATTGTGAATGAAATTCTTGCTTTAGGACTAACCAAAAACACCACATGGGAAAGTAAAGAGAATAAAAACGCACTTCTATGATGGCCTGCCTTCTGAGCAAAAGTTGATTAATACTTTCTAGCGATGGCAAACAAACTCGCCCCGTAAAGAAAAAAATTTAAAAATAATTTTATTTTTGGACAATTTGCTTGTTAAAAATTCATTTTGAATTTGTATTTTATTCTTAAACAATATCATAACTCAAAATTTTGAAAATGTAATTAAAAAGGAAAAAAAGGAAGCAAACGGGACAAGCTGCCGTCCAGTCTAAGGCAAGGCAGGGCAGGACTCCCCGAACCCGACCCACTGTCATCCCTAGAAATATTGTGCCCTAGTATTTAAACTAATATGCTAGGATTTCTAGGATTGAAGTAGAAATAGATGCATGCACGTCTTTCTTTAACTTTCCAGTTTCGAGTGTCTTCTTAAATAGTTATAGTGGCCCATAGGCACTAGATGCAGTGGAAATTCTTAGTTATTTATGAGGGAGAAGCGATTTTGATCAAGTCACCAGCACTCTCCTTCGAACTGGCAAGATGAGAATCATTTTACACAGACATATACATGTTAAAGCTTTATTTTCTCGAGAACCCTCAGAGATGCTAAAATCATAGAACGTAGAGTTTCTTATGCTCATCAGGAATCATGGAATCTGTTATGATACAGACCATGATGAATTGATTTTGAAATCTGAAATACTTCCAGGTTTATTTACAATCTAACACGGACAAACACCAGCCCTCTCCTATAAACAGAAAAAGATGAGAATCATACTACGCAGACATCTTGTCTGTTTCTCTTCGTAGAGGTATTTTCTCGAGATCCCCAGAATCACTAAAATCACAGAGCATACAGATTCTTATACTCATCATCAAGAATATCGGAATCTGTCATCACTGACACGGACCACGATTGTGATCGACTATTTCTTTCCGACCTTCGAAGGCTCCTCAAGTTGGAAGCCTCAATCCTGTGCATGATCACCCAGTAACACAATGTACCCAGTGTTGTAGCCATTATCAAAGTTCCTATAATGGTCACTCCAATGGCCAACCACCCCTCATCTTTTCCTACAACGATGTAGCACATAGCAAGAAATGCTACCGATATGAATGTGCAAGCCAGCCACATTAGCTTGTTAATAACTGCCATCAATTGCTTCTTTGCTTTCCTCTCTACAACTACTACAGAAGTCTGCACTACAACTACTGCTAATGATATAAAGAGTGCAAGAGAGTCAAATATGAAGAAGACTGTAAATTCCATGTTTGGAGCAATATTTGCTTCTCCTAGAGAAAATCCAGGGGGAACATTTCCAGGGTCATCTGCATACTGGCCTGGAAGTGTAAATATGGCAGCAAATGCAACTGTAGCAATTAGAACTGCAACAACTGTAGTGGAGGTAATTGCATTGTTAAGCCCTTCTGCATGCATTTTGTTAAGCCTTTTCGCTATACCTCGCATTCGTCTGTGAGTTTGTCGTGAGTGCTCGAGCTGGTCATGAACTTCATGTTTTATGTCGCTTACTGTTTGTTTTAGTTCTCTGGCTGCAGTTGGTGCTGGTTGTGTTTTTATGGATTTTGCACTCTGAACTCCATATCCTTGAAGAATTGATGCAATCTCTGGATGTCCAGTTTTCTCAGCCGTGTCTATGGCCGTCTCACCAGACTTATTGATGGCATCTTTATTTGTCCCTTCGTGTTTTAATAGGATGTGAACAATCTGAAATGATTAAAACCAGAATCAATTGTGAGAGAGCTATTTTCTCCTGGAATTTTTTCCTTCTGCTTGAAAAGTCAAATTAATTGCTAAAATATTTCTGAAGAGGAAATTATATACCTGTGTTCGACCTTTTCTTGTTGCTATATGCAATGCAGTATTGCCCTTTCCATCGACCATTGTAACTAAAACAGGATCTGATGCAACAAGTGCTTCAATTACTTCAGTACTATGTCCCTTAGCAGCCATATGAAGAGCAGTCTGACCCTTCTTATCTTTCCATGTAGAAATGCCCTGTTCTTTGCTTAAAATGCCCTTCACCACCTCAAAATGGCCATTTCTTGCCGAAGAATGCAAAGCTGTTTTCCCATTATTTCGCGCTATGGTGGCGAGACTGCTGTTTTTCTCTAAGAGGAAATCGACCACCTGAATGTGGCCTTGTGCTGCTGCAGTGTGCAATGCTGTTGTATTTGATTGATCCACCGTCGCCAACAGTTGTGGGATGGCCTCCATGAGGATCTTCAATACTCCTGCAGTCGACATCGATTTGATTAGAATTTCGTACCAATCTCCAAGTTCATGTAGAAGTTAACAGAATAGAATGACAGTCAAAACAATTATGGATTATAATGATTGTACAGGGGCGCCAAGTAGTGCCAAGGTGGGGGACATGGTTCAACAATTATTTAAACATAGCCCTCCTTTTCATTACTCCGACCAAACATATGACCTAAGTATTTTCAAGAATCACCAGCCCTACCTGAATTATTTTTGGAGTCATTATAGATTAACAAAGACCAGCCTCAAATTGGAGAAGGTGGCGTTGTAGAATAAACATACGATAAATGGTACGTGTACATAAATCTTTACAGTTTGTTTGACAGTTGCTGGTTGGCAAGCATTCATTGAATGTTGGACACAAAACAAAGTTAAACCAGTCAATGTAGTGTTGCCACCTTATCATCTGTAATGCTTTCTGTAATTTCTATCCGTACAAACAGCTTTATTCTAAACATAATCCTGAACATGAAAGCAATATGAATGAAACAGAAGCGCACATACAAGTTTCTCTAAAATCGATAAAAAGAGGCATGAAGCTGAAGATCTCTCAGTTTCTGCATCTCTTTATATCTCCCCCTAATATCTTTATACTGGAGAAATATACAAAATCTCTGAATGCCTAACACGCAGATAAATGAACAGTATAATTAGGCTTCACATTCCAACACGGGAGAGAATACTACAGAAACTTACCCAGTTCTTGCTGCTTGGCAGCGATATGAAATGCATCAAAATCATTTTTAGCTTTGATTCCAGCAGATCCAATATCATAAAACTTTATCATCTCCTGCACCAGATCAATACGACCACTTTCTGCAGCAACATAAAGCGCGGTTTCGCCTGATTGATTCTGCTTAGACAACAATTCCTTCAACTCTTCATCACCACAATTAGTAATGATCTCCACAGCTCCTTGTAAATTCCCTGCTCTTACTGCTGAATGTAGTGCAGTATCATCTTTCTTCCCTGTTAACTGCTTCTTTATATGCTTCCTTGCCGGATCTTCCATCAGATTACTTTTTCAAAAGAATCCCAGATCAAATTTTACTTATGACAAAATAATTGATTGTTTGAATTATGTAAAATTCTTCCACTGCAATAAAATGGATTCAGTTGGGCTCTCAGTAAGTCAGCATTTAGCAATCATGATTTCCGCCACGACCTGAAAATTCCAACCTACAAAACAGAAAGTCAAAACTCTCCAATCCGTTGCATGATTATAATTGTAAACATCAAAAATAGCCAAAAACGGTCCATTTGTGGAATAATCTTCAAATTCTACTTATGCCAGTGTGTTCCTGGTGACGACCTTCAATGGCGATTCTTGGTGTCAATAATTCCCTTACGAAGAAAACACAAGGCAAAACAAAATTAACGGAGGATTATTTACCTTTGCTTCAAAGATCAGAGCTTCTCATTAGGTAAAAACTATGAAAATTCATGGACTAAATTGAGAGATGAAAAGCTGCTAAACTTGTTGGGGACAGAATGATCGACAACAATTCACAAATGACATGATAAAGAAAGGTGAAAGCACAATGGAGAGGCCACAAAAGTTAAGATAAGGTTATTTTTTACCACAAAAGTTGATACATAGGTTAATAATCACTTATTTTTGTACTATGGGGCTTACAAATTAAGTACTTCTTTAGTAAATCAGCCTTAGAATAAGCAAAAACACTCTGTCCGATACACCATTTAGGATATTAACAATGATAAGTTAACCAATCAAGTGGCATGTGACTAAGTCATTGCTAATCATGTTGATTTTTTATTTTTTTTTTCACGCGTGAATGTAGACGGGCCATTTGTTCGCTTCGATATTGGGGTAAATTATTTTATTTAAAAGTTTAATAAATAGATAATCTTTAATATGCTCTTCACGTGAAGAATAAATTCATTTTTCGAGCAATTCAGACAGTTGGAGAATTGTTAAAAATAAGATAATGGAGGGTGGGATCAACAGTAAAAAGATAGGAATTAGTTGTTGACTTGAAAAGCTAAGCAACTGCAAGTCAAGCTTGTCATCTTTCTATGGCCCTCGTGGGGTTCATTCATTATTGCATTATTAATAGGGAAATTACAACTGAGCTCCTCAAACTTTCACGTGATGTAATTATAAGTATTCAATATTTTAAAGTGAAGTTTTGAATTCTAATCTACTTAAATTGGTGAATTTGGGTCTTTTAGTGACCCAATTCATCAATAAAGACGTTAAAATCACTAACGAGTATGACCTTCACATGACCCTAACTGGATGACAAAGTCGTCGAACCACTTCATATTTATCTTCGATTCAACTTTGAAGTTGCATGCAATTTAAACGTCTAAATTGATTATTTTCATATGGACAATATTAAAATTTCAAATAGGTTTAGGATTCAAAAACATCATTTTCTAAAGTTGGAGATCTATAAGCACATCATGTGAGAGGAAAAATTGCAGTGGACATCCCCAATTTATATGTATTGTTGCAGATTGGTCTCAACTTTTATTTCTTAGTATTCAAATTCTCGAACTTTTAACTTTATAACATATTGGTGTCTAATTGACAGTTTTGCATTTCATCAAGGCACGTGACTCCCCGCTGCTCATTTTTCCTTTGATTTAGAATTCTGTTAGCTTATTTTTTCGACTATCTATGCAACTAAAATTAATCTTTTAGGACACTTCAAACATAAAACATTGAAAACTTAATAAATATAAAGAAATAAAAATTAGACTCATGCACGTGAACTTAATAATAAGTATGGGAGCTGTATTGCAATTTTTCCTTGGCCAGTTTTTGACACTAAACTTTTTTTGCGTAGTGGGAACGTAGAATGAGTCACGACAAATCCAGTAATTGTTTAATTTTAGGGCTAAACCTAATTTTTGTACGACAAATGAACGGGACTGCTTCCTACTCCTACCGGCCAATTTTATTCCATTAATCTAATCATGTTTGAGCTACATTTTTTTAAAAAAATTACATTATTAAACAGTGATTCGATATCATTTCAATCATATGTTCTTCAATAAAATAATATTACACGTAAATTCAAAATTTTTCTTTATTCTTTAATCACACATTTCTTATCAATACACTATTCAAAAATACATTCTAAAAAAAATAATGTGGATCAAAGAAGGATATCCATTTTCATCGTGTTTGGCTTATATTTTTACTAGTGAAAAATTGAATTTTTTGAACAATATATACTATATTTTCTCAAAGTGTTATTACATATTTTTCAACGTGTTTGTCTTATTTTTAAGTTGTAGGTTTCATAAAATATATAATTAAAAATGATTTTAAAATAAAAAAATTTTCCCCAGTTATGTGCTTGTTTGCTCTACCTTTCAAATTTTAAGTCTAAAAATATTAGGAATAAATTCCCCAACCTTTTATCTAGTATGGACACAGGTCTTCGTAGGGATATCAGCTCGTTAAAACTCGGCTCGTAGGGGCTCAATTCCACGAGCTGAGTATCTAATATGGACACAGGTCTTCGTAGGGATATCGGCTTGTTAAAACTCGGCTCGTGGGGGCTCAATTCCACGAGCCGAACCTGCTCGGCTCGTGGGCTTGTCAAAAATATATGTAAATTTAAAAAAAAAAAAAGTCAAAAAATGTGCAAAAAAAGAGTTTTAAAAATCACGAGCTTACGAGCGAGCCCACGAGCTCATGGCTCGTGAGCTCACGAGCTCGAGCTTGGCTCATCTCTCAGGAGTCACGAGCTCGAGCCAAGCCGACTTGACTCATTGTCATCCCTAAGTCTTTGACCATAAAAATATAATTATGTGTTCCTGATCATTAGTCTTTTTGAAGAAAAATTAACTTTTTAGCCATTAAAATAGCAGTTTTCCATGATCAAGGAACTTAAAATTCAAAGATTTACATGCATCGGAACCCATAAGCAAGTTTTTGAAGGTTGATGATCCGCGTCACTACTTAAAAAAATGTTTGGGAATCCATGGCTTCAAAGGGTTTGGAATAGAATTAACTAAGCTTTTAATTAGGGATAAACACATAGATCCTAGTTCTAAAGATTACATTTCATAAATAACAAACTCATTAGAATATTTAAAAAATTAGATGGTAAATAAATTTATAAAATTATAGTATAGTATGCATTAATTATTTCCATCCCATGCCTCTTCCTTATCCCATTACACCACCTTCCTTTCACCTTTCCATCGAAGATGGTGATCGGCTTCAGCAACTACGACGAATGCTCCGGCAACTCCGGTGACCAGTCTAACAACCTCTCTGGTGACTGTTTCGACAATAGAAAAATCTTCAAAAATTGAAAACAATTTCTCTCTTCTTACTCCACTATAGAAAAATCTCCAAAAATTTATATGTGACCAGATTTATTATTTGTGACCATACTATCCAAAATTTTTTTCAAGCCACTGACATATGTTATCTGTGACTAATTGTGACCAAATTTGTGTTCAATGTGACTAATTGTAACAAATTTGTATTCAATGTAATTGCTTGTGACCAAATTTGTATTAACTATGACAGTATGTGATAAAGTTACAATCGATCACAATCAACACAAAATTTGTCACAATTTTCACAATAAACACATATTTGTCACAAAGAGTCAACACAAACAAATCTTCACACACCGTAGACTAGTACCAATCCACCAGCAGTCACTACAACCTTTACCTCCAACACTACATTCACTTTCGTTATCTATGACTAATTGTGACCAACTTTGTCTTCATTGTAACTGTCTGTGACCGGAACTATATTAAATGTGATTGTATGTGACTTGTTTACATACAATCACAAGTTAGATTGATATATTTTAAGTCATAGGCAGTCACAATGATGATAGATTTGGTCATACCTAATTTTCATCGGTACACCGCCACTTTCAACAACATCAACCAAATATGCATCCACAACACACACACACACACACCACCCCCGTATCCAACCACGCAATATCACCGCCACCACCACTAACCAAATTTGAATCCACCAACCCACCACACTCCAGATCCATACAATTCGTCAAACACTACTACACACTAACAGTGTTATCACCACAAAAACCACACCCACTACCACCATATCCAACCACACCACTATCTCACCACCACCGTCACACCCAAAAACCGCAACTGCACACAAAAAAAAAAAACTTTCCCCAAATTTTTTGGCACCAGATCGTAACCAAAATTTCCTAAATCACGACCAACAAAACTCCCCCCACTAAACAAAACTCTAGCACCAGATTGTAACAAAATCTCCATAGATCTCCCATCATTTGTCGCTGCAGTAGGGAAGCTCACATCACTTGCAAAACCATGCTCCAACAGCAATTTCCTTTCATCGGCAACCACCTTTGATATCGGTGGCCATTCCCACCACTGTCAACTTCTCATTAGCACCCAAGCAGCAACTGTACACCGCAAATCTTCAGAGGACGCAGCTAATAGCCTATAGTTCAACATGTCCGACGTTTCCCATATCAAATTAAAAATAAAATGAAGGAGGAAAAGCAAAGAGATCTAATATATTCACCAATAAAAACCAAAACTAGACCAACATTGAAAATAACAAAACAAATAATAATGATAAAAAAAAAACTTTTGTATGTGTTTCAGAAAGAGAGAGATAAATGGTAAGTAAAAATCTGAAGAAAGTGGGTTAGAGGGAAATTAGTGGAGAGATGAGAGAAACTTGGTCCATGTGCTTGAAGGCCTCGTAAGCGCCTACACGATGGTCATTGTTGCGGAAGAGAAGACAGTAGAGAAGGTTGAGGAGAGAGAAAGATTAATTTGAGTGCGTGGGGGGTTGTGTTGGCTGGAGTGGATATATAAAGGGTACTTTTAAGTTTGACTCAGTCAAAGGACCTAAATTCCACTTTGACTTCTAAAATCATGAATATTATGACATTGGTCTCTTGTATGGTAAAAGACAAAGATGCCCTTAAATGTTTTATACAATTACAAAACAATATATTGTTGAAAGGACTATACTACCCTTTTAGTTAATAATTGAAAACCAAACACTTCCCCACTTATAAAAACTTCAAAACGAGCTTCCAACTCAAGAAAAACTCTCATCTTTTCATCTGTTTGAACCTCAAAATCTAGAAAAACTTTGAAACTTTGAAGTCGGAAATTTTTTTAATATCAATTACTTCAAATCGGTAAGTACATTTACGCATGTTTAATTTTGTTTTCAGTAAATTAGTGTATGTTTGAATAGAGAAATTTTATGTCGACATAGTAGTTAGCATAAATTTTTTTTAACAGATCTTACCTATAAAAAAAAATAAAATTGAACAGATGTATAACTTTAGAACCATATTCTTCTGCGCAAAAATAGCCAAACTGGCCGTTTTGGCTGTTAACAGCCAAACAGTTGGAAACAGTCCGACTGCTTGGCTGTAAACAGCCAATAGTCGGCTGTTAAGCAGCCGACTGTTCGGCTGTTAAACAACCAATTAACCGACTCTGCACTAATTTTTGTTGACCTTTTTCTTATAATTAATAAATGAAGTTGATTAAAACCATTTCCTCATGCAGATATGATAATCCTCGTGTGTTATTTCGGTGATTTCGAATTGA